AGTGCTGTGGCGACTGCCACCAGGCTTGGGAGAGCTCCAGAAGGCCCTTCCCTCACCCCATCATACAGGAGGTCTTGGAGAGGTGGTGCGACTCGGTCAGGGTTGGCCGGCATAGTCCGGGAGACTCCAAAGGGTCCTTCGAGATCCAGTCCCCCTCTCCTCCTCTGCAGAAAAGCAGAGCGAGGTTCTGAAAAGGGAAGTAAGTTGGCTAAAACCGCCACATGGTTCCTTAAAACGTAGCAGTACCTCTGGGGTTAATTTCATCCAAGGCTCCCTACTCTCTGCTTTATGAAAAGCCGGGGAGCTCCGTTCCGCATTCATCCCTTCATTTATTCACTCACTCATTAGTAATTGTAGAGCACCTGCTAGGTACCAGGCGCTAGGAGAGGTTCCCTGAAATGCCTGTGGTCACAGGGCTTAAAGCTTAAGCCTTTCCTGAGTGCTCCCCTCTGTGCTTTCTGAGGGAAATATCTGGTGAAAGATTTAGATTGTCGGGCAGATAGAACTGGAAACCACTACCCGCAATCACCGACATCTTCAGGGACGCCCCTGAATACCACAGCACGACGCCAGTGTGCTCACTTCACAGAGCAAGCTGGAGGCAGAGCGGGGATTTGATCTGGGGTCAATAGCTTCCTAGACTTGGAGGTTCCCCCCCCCCTATGATAGTGGGGAAACATCAGGGAGAGGGAACGCCAAGCCTTGGGCCCTATGGCTCTTGTCCCTTTAGCTGGGGGTCGCCAGGGCACTGCGGGAGGAACGGTGGATAGATGACACAGCTTGGGGATATATGGTCGAGGTGCTTGGACAACGGAAGTTGGAGTACCCGAGGGCTGGCGAGCTGTCGGCTTAACCCAGAACTTCCAGTCTGAGCACTGCTCAGGTTCCAGGCCCCTGATAGGTGCTGGGATCCCTGCTCAGCACTCCAGCCCCACCCTGGGTCAGGGTGGGCGACAAATTCACTGTGAAAATTAAATGAGTTAATGCTGCTAGGTAGTGAGCACTCAATAAATGTTCGTTGTTTATTATATGAGTTTTATCATTATCATTTTTATTAACCCTTCTCCCCTTAAATGCTATGAGAGGCATAAAGTGAACCGGAGGATGCAGAGCTTGATCTAGGAGGGCTTTCTTGAGGAGTGGGGGCTGGGTCAGCCTGTGGCTGCTACAACCCAATAGTGGGTCTCCTCCTGCCCCCATCCCCAACGCCCCAGGCTTTCTGTCCCGGTAACTCGGGAACTCTCCGTGGTCCTGAATCCGGCGCCTCGCAAGAAGAAGCTCTACAGTGAGGGGGTGTGTGGTGGAGGTGGGGGCGAGAAATGGGGATATCGAAAGTGTCCCGTCTCCTTGTCCCAACCCCTTCTGTATCTCTTCCTGCCCACCTCCTTCCCTGGTGGCTGACCTCGCTTGGGATCCAGGCTTCAGAGCCTAAGCGGGAGGCTTCAGAGCCGCGGACCGAGAAGCCGGGGCCAATACTGGAGAACCCTGGTTTCCAGTCAAGGCACTGCGCCCTCTTGAGCTTCAGCTTCCTCATCTGTGAAATGGGGGTGGCATCTCCCAGACTTCCTCAAGGCGTGAAGGAGTATCAGGGAGGCGAGAGCTCTTTGTGTACGGCTGGGAGCTGTGGAAAGCGTCCCTGATGGAGCTGCAGTCAATGTCACCAACGCCACCATCTCCCCTGGGCTGTCTGGGACGGCTTCGCAGCCGTGCTTCGGCGCTTGGGGACGCTGGTTGCTTCACCTCTTCCATTCTTCCTTCCTCTCCCCCGCTAGCCGTCTCTCCCCTTTCGCCATGGCTTCGCGGGTACTGGACAAAAGGCAGCGCCTCCGGCGCTCCGAGGGCTTCAGAAGCTCTCGAGGTTCGGGACTGTGTAGCCAAGGGGCTCATGGTCTCCCTGAGGGGAACATTTTACTTTCTGAGAGCTGAGGGGCCACGGGGTTCGGATTCCGGGGCGGGCCTCGCTGATTCTACGTTTTGCAGAGGGTACCGAGGCCCTTCCCCCGCCCATAAAGCTCTTTCCTGGGGAGGGAGGAGGGGTTTCTGCGGCGCAGGCGCAGGGCTTGCGGCGGCCCAAGGCTGAGCGACTGCGGAGCTTTGTACCCGGGAAGTCCGCTCGAGAGCCGTGGTCTTTTTGGCCAACAGCGGACCCATGCCCCTCCCTCGATATGCACGTGGTCTTGTCCCCACCCCTGGAGCATACCTGCCCAGACTCAACCGTGGGGACGCCCTGGTTCTGGAACCTAGGACTTAGCAACGCTGTGGAAGGGAATATGGAATCTGGGAGAGGGAGACCTGCAATTTCCGGTCAGCAACAAGAATATAGGACCCAGCAGTGCCAAGGCTGAAATGAATGAGTGTAGGAGAATGCGCTCTAGACGAGGCGTGCAGGAACGTGGCTTCTAGATATGCTCTGCTGCAGCTAATATGCTTTGTATCTGAGATACCATTTTACCTTGTATACCTCAATTTCCCACCTGTGAAATGGGAAACTTAGGGCCTAGTGTTCCTGGAATACTAAGCTGTTTCTCTTTTGTGAACATATAACCCCATCTCCATTTTAAGGACCAGGCATCTCTGGCCTCTGGTCCTGGACTGGAGGACTGGCCCCCAGGTGGCAGTGGAGGTAAGAGCTTCGGGCCCTAACTTGAGTGGTGGGGGCTTTTCCATGATTAGCACACCTGCCCTCTGGGTGGCAACTTGACAGTAAAAAAGATGGGGTCTTTTTATAGAACCTGCAGGTTTGGATTTTGTAGGCAGAAAGTGAGGTTGGCATTTTAATCTGCCTGGAGATTTGGGGCACCTGTCTAATGCTGTGGGGGCTTGCTAAGACTCCCTTCTTCTCTCCCTGTCCCCTCTTTACTTTTCTCCTATCAAGAAGTTTAACATGCTATGCCCTGGTCTCCTGCCCACCTCTCCCCAAAGCAACATCTGGATTATGGGTGCCAGGGCTGATGTCCACTCTCCACTGGGAGGCAGGACATTCTGTTCGCCACCTTCCCCCTAGCCTGTCCTGGGGGCTGTGGAGACCTTAGTGCTAATGGTCTGGCTGTCCAATCAGCAATCACTGTCTGGTAGACAGGGCTGTGGGGGTGACCTGGTGGTCCCAGTACCTGGGGGCTGTGTGATGAGCAGCGCTGCAGGGGCAGTAGAGCAGGTCAGCCACTCATTAGGGCCTAAGCCTCCCTGCTGCAGGGAGGTTCCTGCTGAGTCTGGTTCAACGATGGGAGAGGGTGGCAGGGAAAGGTTTTATGGAGAAGCCGTTGGCAGTAAGTCAGGGAGAATAGGTAAGCTTATGTCTGAGCTAAGATATTAAGAGAAGGTACAGCTGGAATAAAGGCTTGGACTTGGGTCTGGAAATCTGCTTGGTCTATTCAGGGAGTTATCACAGAGGACGGACAAACGGAGGCTGGAGGCTGGGGAAAGGCCAAAGCGGGGCTGCCGCTGGGCCAGATCCTGGAGAGCCTGAATGCTCCAGCAGCTGGGGGTGGGGGTGAGGGGGAGGTTCTAGGCACCCGGCTCACACTCCTTCCCTCAGGCACATGTTCCAGGGAGGCCCCCAGATGCGACGCACCACACCTGTGGCGCTGCCCACAGTCTCTGCCAGCGCATCCGAAGTCCGTCTCTGGCTTTTAAAAGAGCCCTGAAAACCAGACCTACCCAATCGCGAGAGCGAGGCTGGGGCCCAGCTGAGGGCGTGTGCGCGGGGCGGGGGTCGGCGGGGCTGGGCGGTTGGGTGGGGCGGGGGGCGGAGGTGGGGGAGAGTCGGAAGGCGAAGCGCTTCCTGGTTCGAGCCGG